ATTAATTTGATATATTATATATGTGAAACCGATAAGAAATATAAAAGTTACTAACTTTTAAAATATATTTACAATTCAATAGTTATAATAAGAAACGATATTAAAATACAACTAGTACGTATCCCGTGCGATGCATGGGTCAAGTATGTTAAATGAGTCATTTTAATAAGACATGTCCGTTTAGGCTTAAAAAATAATAGAGTTAGATCTACTTCTTGTAATCAAGTTGTTTTTAAGTCATCACGTTAAACTCGAGCATATTAGCTCTAGTCTATAATTTAATATATTATATGCAGAATCATTTATACTAATAAAAAATAATTTTCGTATATAAGGGTGATTGTCCTTGAATCTCCAAAAAATTACGTACCAGTTTTTGTTTCATTACGATGGGACGATGACTCACTATATTTCTAAAAAATCAATAAAATTCAATTTTATTATTGAACATATCATTTAAAACAAATCAACAGTAAATTGAAAATATAAATTAACAAAATATATAAAAAATTGTTTTTAGTAATACTGTAAACAATTAGTATTTTCTTTTATTATTAAAAACAGTTGTAAAGTAAAAGAACACTAACAATAATTTAGAGACCATCACAGCATGACAACCAAACAAAATCTGACACTAATTTAATTTTGGCCCAATACTATTAAATTTTTTGACATTAATAATTAACCCATATGTTCGGTCCAATGCGCCTATTTTTCCATGCCGTAATAGGTGGCCCACATACATTAAATAAAAACTTTCACACCTTTAAAAATGTCCCATAAAATTGGCCCAATATACATTTATGTGAAGGTATCTAGCCCATAAACATATATATTTATATCCACATCGGACGGTTTAAATTTGGTCAACACGATCCAACTTCGCCTATAAAAGGCGACAATTCCCCTTTTTTAGGGTTTTCCTCAAACCACCGAGCCGATATTTATTTATGTGACATTTTCCCGTGTATATCGTTTCAAAATGAAAAACGATTCACAATCCCTTTGAATAAATTAATTTTCATACGAAAAATAGATAAGCAGTTACAAATTGGGTATGACACATTGATAATCCCACAAATTATGGGCAGCATTAAATGCTGGCCGATTTTACAGGCAAAAAAAGGTAACCAAATTGGTAAGTACTTAATGCTGACCAGATTTGACCTGCCATTTTTAAAAATGGTAATTCTTATTATATAGATATAGATATTATGTATGTATGTATGTATGTATGTATGTATGCATGTATGTATGTATGTATGTATGTATGCATGTATGTACGTACGTATGTATGTGTGTGTGTATGTATGTATGTATGTATGTATGTATGTATGTATGTATGTATGTATGTATGTATGTATGTATGTATGTATGTTGTTGTACTGCAGCTTTTATTGTTTATTTCATATAATGTAAAGGTTGAAATCATAAAAAAAAAATCTCAAAAACTGAAACAATATATTTACATAATTTAAGGTCATTAAGAAATCGATCTCCAAATCAAATTTGATTTTGAGAATCTGTGTTTTATTTCGAAATCCATACAATATGGAATTCTATCCAACCAATAAATGTCATAGCAAATATTAACTCTTAATATCAGTGCATACCGAGCAAATTGTGTACATATTTTAGAAAATTAAAATGATTCATGTTAGGTAATTTTACGTTTTATGTATGTTGTTGCACGGGGGGTTTTAAATATTGTTTCATAGTATGTAAAAGTGTATTATTTTATTTTTATGAGATGTTGAATTTGAAAATTAACAGAATTATTCGTAATCGGAATTTTAAATGTAATAGTATTCTTTGGTATACACTATTAATAAAATCTATATTTAAAGTTTATATTTTTTGTTTTTAACCTGAAAAAATTCTTTAATTTAAAGAATCACATATATCTTCAATCAGTCTGCATCTATATACATTCTTCACAATTTTAAATTTTGAATTTGATGAGAATTGGTACCTATGAGTGCAAAATATGGTTTAACAAATTAAATTTTTATTGTTATTTCAACCATACTTCTTTATATGATTTTTTGTGAAATACAAAAGTAATTTCTTATTTTTAAATCACTCGTACATTAAAGTGTACAGATTTTTGAAATTACAAAAGTAGTTTTTTTAATTTAAATCAAATGTAAATTTAAATAAGCTATAAACAAAGATAATTTGTTTTACTATTTAAATACTAAATTAGCCGTCATTAATGTTGTTTATTTATTTGCCATGATTTTCTCCAAACTAAATTAACAACTACCATGATTTAAGGGCTCCATTTATGATGCTCGATTTTTGTCCAAAAAAACAAATAAAAATTACTAAAAGTGGTATGTAATTAATGCAAATGAATTTTGACTATAATTTGACCTGCTATTTTTGAAAAATTGTAAATTTTTTTATATATAGATTAATACATCCCAAATGATCATAAATAAATCAATGTATTTATGGTAATCTGAACCTAATTATTTTGGGATACTTTAGGCATTAATGTAGTTATATATTACTACATTAATTCAATAGAGATGTAATTATGTATTTATGGATTGCATTTTGCAATATTTTCAGAATTTTATAGAATAGATGAAAAATTCCCAAAATACATTGCATAACAACTTTTAACATAACAAAAGGTGGCAATTAAATTCTTCGAACACACCCTTTGGCCCATTTTACCAAAGCCTACGTTGCATTTTTTAGTTATGGGCTTTAAGCCCAAATGCTTCTGCCGTGTGCTTTTCTACGATTTGAGGTTAAGCCCACATGTTTGGACCCGAAATTGGATGGGGGAAAATTATGTTAACAAAATAAGACATAAGGAGTAATTTTCTCAAATGGGATGCCATTTCCTTTTGAGGAAATTGCATGTCCTACTATTATGCTTAAATATTTAACACATTTACGCCCTCTTTATATTCTTTTTTAAAATCACCTAAACCACATAAAAGATTTTCAATTATACCTAAAACGTGATTAACCGTTATGGATATGCCAGTTCAGTTAACTATGAAGTGCAGAAAGAAATTTAATTAGAAATTAAAAGGTCGCAGTGCAATTCGTCCAGTTTACGCCGGGGGAATCAGATCGCAAACCCTAGATGCCATGAAGAACAAACGAGAGCAATCCGAGGACGCAGTGGACGAAGAGAATGATGTCAAGCGCCAGAAGGTGGTCGGGCAATCTTCGCCCATAGAAAACCATCTGCTGCCGCTCGCTTCCTACGACGACGACGAGGAGAAGGAAGAGGAAAATGGCAGAAATGGCGGTACAACTGTTAGTAACGGCGGAGGATCCGAGCATGACGGCAAGAACCGCCGCCGGCAAGAAGAAGACGGAGACGAAGAAGAAGATGATGCAGGGAAAGGCAGGCGAGGTTGTGCGATTGAAGTGAGAAGGGACTGTCCTTATCTTGATACTGTGAATAGACAGGTACTGAGTTGAAAATGTATATAATTCGAAGGTATATTTACAAAACTGAGTTGGTATATGTTGGGTATATCCGAGTATATCCGAAGTAACCTTTCTGTGGTTATCTGTTTAATAATTCCTTTTTTTCTTGGGATTATATGTTGGGTATATCCGAGTATATCCGAAGTAACTTTTATCTGGAAGACTTGTTTTTTTATTGCACATATACTGAATATGTACTAATATAAACTCAAAATATACCACCTGGCGGCTGCGTGAATTGTAATATTGCAACATACACTGAATATATACTAACATAAACTCAAAATATACTACCTGACGACTGCTTGAGTGGAATATATACTAATATAAACTCAATATATACTAACATAAACTCAAGATTTTTTTTTTCTTTTTTCTCCTGGTAGACATGGCGGAAATCACGGGACCTTCAACTGGAGTGGTTACGTTACCTTGTAACCGATATTGATGCAATATAATAAATAAATCAGTTTCTTTAGGTATATTTGTAAATACTTTCAGATAAGGGTAAAATTGAAATATTTATTTATCTTATCGCATGGATAAAAATTTCCCTTTTCTTTTCTTCTATTCTTTCACACTTTTTTTTTATTATTTTATTATTTCATTTCAAAAGAATGCGAATCCAATATTAAAATAGTAGAAAGCAACATAATATTCACATGTCATATTATTAAAAAAAAAAAAAAGACAAATAAAAATGTAACTTTTCATAATTTCATGATATTATAATTGGACTCAACAGATTACTTCATAGCAAAATTGTTCATAGTATGCAGCTTTATAAGAAAGTATAATTGTTTAACGGTTAGACAATTCTCCATAGTGTAAGTATGCAATTTTATAAGTATGATTGTCTAACAGTTAGACAATTTTTACAGTATAAGTATGCAGTTTTACAAGAAAATATGATTGTCTAACCTTTGCCAAAATAAAATAAAATGCTTTTGTGTTGAGCATTTTGTCTTTGATATATTTATATTACAAAATAAATAATAATAATAATAAATAGAACGTGAAAGTGAGAGGAAATTAATGCATCTTTGACTGTTGCTTTCATATTGTGATGTCCCATATTAATAATAATAACAATAATTAAAAAAAAAAAAAGAACACTTTGAAATTTAAAAACTGAGTTTGAATACCACATGTGCCCCCATTAACATAAAAAACTTCACTGCATTCAATATCCATCATAGCAACCTCTTCTTGTAATATATATATGAACTAGAAAAGAGTTGCAGCAAGAAATGATTTCATGAGAAGATACTTACAAAAACTCAAAGTTTTCAGTTTTATAATATATAGTTACTTCACCCAAAAAGAACACTAGTTTCATTCAATCAACTCCCTCAATAATGTAACCATCAGCTCCAAGATTTTCTCCAAAAGCATTAGCAAAAGATGAACACGAATCGCCTACCCGAAATAATTAAAAAAAAAAATACCGAAAGGCTCTATAAGCCGAGAGAGCTTAAGCTTCTTCTTCTTCTTCTTCTTCTTCTTCTTCTTCTTCTTCTTATTTTACCAACACCAAAATTTCATTTGCACTCGACGCCAACCTCAGCAGCACGCCTAGGTTTGCTTTTCCTTCGACTTCCATTTTGTCTAAAGCCGACGTTTTTAATCAAGGCACTCCCATTAGTTTTGGTTCCCAATTCATTTTCCTCTTTTAAGACTAAATCTTGATCATCTTCTTGTAGAGGTCTTTTCCTCTTCTTGCCATTCTCTATGGTGACACCGTTTTTGCCGTTTTTACCAGCTTCCGAGCCTTTTCCGTCTTCACCATTTTTGTATCCTACTTCTTCTTCTCCTCCCATCTTTTCAAATTCATCATCATCCTCGAGTTCGCCTTTCGTTGCTTTCAGTGGCCTTCCCCTTCTCTTCATGGGCAACTTCTCATCCTCAAAGCTTGCACTATCTTCACGAGCAACGGGAGATTGTTTTTTCCCTTTTCCTCTCCCTCTACCCATATTTTTCAATCGCAACTCAAGCAAAACAATAAAATAACAATTTTCTCTGCGTAAAAAAACACAATCAAACAAGTGTTAGAGAATAGAGACTAGAGAGTACCCATTATCAAGTTCAATCAATTTTGGACAAAAAAAATCTAAAATTACTAGTAGCCATTACAAAGTTTATTTTGGATTTTCAAAGGTAAAAGGCAAAAATGATAACAGCCAACAATCTTTACACCAAGAACACAAAATCTGAAATTAAATAAAAGAATCTAATCTTTTATCATAAGATGAACCATACAGTTTAAATACACTAACCCTTCTCAACAGATACAAAGAAGAGACTTATAGTAAACACACAAGAAATCCAATTCAGGTATAAGAACCTCCACTGTGTTTTTGTTTGCCGATTATCGGTCTTTGTACTTCAGTTTCGATCTATAAATTTACATTTACCAATCAAAAAAACTAAAAAAGCAAGAAATCAAGTGTCCTAAAGAAAACAAACACACAAGAATTGGATGTATAAACAATGAAACTATGATTGAACTATTATCTTTTATTACAATAAAAGGGTAAAAAAAAAAATGACAGCAAAAGAAAGCTGAGTTAAAACATACCAGATGGAGCTGACTTGGTAAGAAGCAACAAAACCCATCTGCAAACCTAAATCAAAGCAACCATTTTTTTTTCAAGAAAAATTAAAAAAAAAAAAAAAAAAAAAAAAAAAAAAAAAAACCAACCAATCAAGAAACCAATAATAAGTTGGTAATTAGATTAAAACACCTAACAAACATGAATAAATTCAATATAAAACAAGAAAAGGTGAAGTCTTGGTGTACTGTGAGTGAGAAACTGGTGAAAAATGGATCTGAGGCGATGAAAAAATGGCGGCCCAGATTACATAAGCGTCAAGAAAATGGATTATCGATGCAGAAAATGAACTCAGATTTGAAAAGATTTGATCTTTGTCAACATTTCAAGCCAATGGTGGCTGGCAGACTCTGCTGTAATAAGAGAGAATAAGAAAGTTTAAAGACAAAGGGGAAAAATAACGTGTGTAGTTCAGTAGTTGAATGGGAATTGCAGAAAGGATATAATAATTTAGGAAAATGCTAAGGTCCCGTTACGGAACCATTCCGTCAGGGTTTGTAACCGTTAGATCAACTATCCCCGACGGTTACAAGATGATCTAACGGTTACAAACCCGACGGAATGGTGCCGTAACGGGACTGTAGCATCTCCCAATAATTTATTAGTTTTTTTTTTTTTTTTTTTTTTTTTTTTTTTTTTTTTTTTTTTTTTTTTATTATTTATGGGCTGCTTGGGAAATTATGGTAAAGTGTAAAAGAAGGTAAACAAAACTACTACTATTAATTATTAAATAGTAAAATCACTAAATAAAGGGGATAATTTGAAAGGTCACGGTTTTGCTATGGAACTATTGGATGAGTTCGCTTTTATTGAATCATTCATATTCACAAATGATGTATTGACACGTGTCCTGCAATAAATATACATTAGACACATGTCAGTAAATAAAGTTATGGACGACTCCATAAAGGAGTCATCCGATGACTCTATAAAATTTGCGTGAAAGGACATTGCGTTTGCGCGTTGTTTTCCTTGCAATTTTTTTTTTTTTTTTTTTTTTATATATGAAGGTTAATAAAATTGCATAATTAATTAATTATATTAAATAAGTACTCCCTCCATTTTGAAATATAAGACATATAAGGAATTCTTAAATTTTTTGAAATATAAGGCGCACATCAAAACCAAGGCAAATTATTCCATTTTCTGCCAAATATACCCCCATTTATAGCTGCAACTATAACAATAAATACATAATAATTTTCAATAAATAAAGTTAGTTTAGTCAATTTACTTATTAATTAATGTCTCCTTAATATTTGTGCAAAAACCTTAAACGCCTTATATTTCAAAATGGAGGGAGTATGATGGATCAATTCGTTGTATTTTTTTCAATAATTTTGCATAATTATGTAATTATACTACATAAATATATACATCGAACAACCTATTTCGCACAAGAATTTGTAATGTTAGAATAGTATAGTATAACAAAAATCTTTTCTTTTACTATTTTTGAGAAGCACAGCTGACGGTCATATTCCTTGCTTGGCTGTTAGATTTTCGACCTTCATAAAGAGGTTTTCTTATTTATAAAATAATAATTTTGAAATCTAAGAAGAGTGCGAACGACACAATTTAGCCCCAACTGGCAATTGCTTTGTTGGGCAGTCTCAATCTTTATTGGGTTTACTGGAAAAGGTAGGGACCACATGTTGTCAAGCAGCTGGGCCTCCACATTTTATGATTGGACCCTGTCGAAAAAGGCTTATATCCCACAATATCGTTTGGGCCTATATTGGCACTTGGGCCTACACAACAATGGACTGTTGCGAATCAATTTAGAAGAGAGCACAGAACTATTGCTCCCCTTTTGCTCTGTCACCGTTGCATCTTAAGCAAAATCATGAAAACCATTAAATCAATCAACAATTGGTTAGATAACATTCCAACCCTCACACAACAAAATCCATATGCAACCGAGAAAACAAAAAGAAAACCAAATAGTGAAAAAAATTGGTGACTGATAGGATTATAAACTGAGCATGAAAGGTCCAAAAGAGTGCTTCACTAATTGATATCCCCATTGCCGGTTAACTTGCATGTGGAAACACATTGTTTCATATTCGACTGGAATATCCATCTCCCATTTGCCCATTACGGTCATTGCTGGAGATCCGAACACCGTTAAGACGGCAGGCATTTTGGATTAAAACGAAAGGTTGAGGGAGAAAAGGTACAAACAAATTAAACGATTAGCGTATACAATTACCAAAAAAAAAAAAAAAAAAAAAAAAAACCTCAGGGGTATCTTTCTTTTCTTCTAAATTTCATAAGATGATTGAATGCTTTTATTATTAAGACAGGGCTCAACTAGAATAACTATGCTACTTACTGTAGATGCACATACCATGATAATCGCGGTTCGAGTAGTTACTGCTTGGGAAAGTAATAAGGATATCCGCCAAAGGCTGCTTGTGGGGACGGCGTGTCTTTCTTAGCACCATATTGGGGATAGGGATATTGTGGTTGGCCTGCGTAAGGATTAGCTGCAGCTGATGGACTTGAATACGAGCCAGGGTAATTGGCCATCGACTGAGGATAATTATAACCGAGAGAACTTCCAAACCCCGTCTGTTGATATCCGGCTGATATTTGTACAGGCATTTGAACCACAGGCCCAGTTAGTTGGGTTTGGCCACCGACCCTTGGTTTGTTATTATCAGCAAGCTTCACCGTGATATTTCTTCCCTGACATTGTTGAAAACAAACATTTTCAACAAACTTCACCTTTAATATAGAACTGACCTTTTCATGATGTAAAGGACTTGTACTTTTCCTTGGCAGACAAAATTACCTCGAGATATCACGCAATTTATAATGAAAAGGTAAATTAATGAGTTTGTCATCTTTAAAATGTAAGGTTATAGTAAACACCCAATTCAGTTTCCCATAGTTTAGTTTAGCAAATAAACTTGTTGAAGTTGCAAGTTGTGGAATGTAAACACTTCTTATTTAGGGGATATATTTACTTTCGGAAGATAGTTAATCTCTTTTCTGAAGTAATCTTGGTTAGAAAATCATTCTGTTATAGTGAGGGAAGAAAACAAAAGGATTTTTCTTACTCCAAGCATCTTTAGAGGGTCATCAATAGCTCTTTTTGCAGCCGCAACAGTGCTGTAAGTGACAAACCCAAAGCCACTTCAAAGCAAAAAATATTTATCGGATCAGTCAGAAAATTAATTGTGATTTTAATTAGAAAAAATAAAGAACAAGAAAAACTAGAAAAAGGGTGTTCATATTTACCGAGATCTGTTAGATTCCTTGTCATACGCAACAGAACCTTCCTCAATCTCTCCATGTCGTCCAAAATACGCAAGCAACATTTCGCTGGTTGTCTCAGGTGATAAACCTCCAATGTAAAGCTTTCTTTGCGCTTGATCTGGTGCAATACTGGTGTTGCTTAACCCTTCACTTGCAAGATTACAGACAGCCATACGGCCCTACAGTGCCAAAAAAAAATAAAAAAATGGAGAATAATATGGCTACAGTTAGCATTTTCTTTCATAATTTATCTTATATTCGGAACTGCTTGTTTCTTAAACAAAAACCAGAATACTCACATCAATCATCTTGCTAGGTGCCCTGAGAGCTAGCTGAGCTGACCCCATATCTTTGTATGTAATGAAACCATAACCACGTGACTTTCCCGTGACCTTGTCATAGATTACAGCACCCTCCTCAATTTCACCGTGCTCTTGAAATGCCTGCATCCACTCATCAAAAATAATAATGTCCCACATGAGCACCCTACCATTTACCAAGGATTAGACAGGACAACAAAACTAGGAAATTAAAAGAACAGCCCATGGAAGCTTTTCTGGTATCATTTCGTCATTCACCAAGAGAACACAAAAACACAGTCCGCAAGCAGCAAAATAACTCACAGCACACAAAGTTTCTGAAGTGGTATTCCAAGCTAAACCACGAACAAAAAGCTTTCGAAGGGCAGGGTCAGAACTCGCAACACTTTTAATTTCTTCAGCAATAGAAGGGTATCGGGACCCTCTTCACGCGAAAACATGCAAACAAGCACACGCATACAATGTCAATCCACGCAGCATACACACCAGAATATTCCTTTCAAGAAGCATCTACTTCACACGCCACAAACCATTATGATTGAACACATTTCATTAGTAGAAACAAACAGGAGGGAGATTAAGCCACTAGTAATGAACAAGATAAGTAAGAACCATAACTCTAAAGTTCCGGTAAAAATGGTTCTAAATTAGGAAACAAACTTCCAAAAGCACTGCAGATTAGTGTTGTGAAATTAGAGGCGTAATTTCTTAGCTACAACTTATAATCACTATTAAAACTAGAAATCGAGGTGAACCCATCAGTATTACAATAAACATATGAGCCCAAGTTTCCAATGCTCTTGAAAATCCCACGAATTCTTCCACACAAATTACACTAACTATCCGGAAATACCAACTCCTACGCATACGCGTGCACGTGTATATTCACAAATACCACCAAAAAAATAAATAAATAAATAAAAAATAAAAACATTTCATCCATTATCAACTCGTCAAACACAATACTCCAAAAAATAAGGATTCTACGTCTACCAAACATTATTGAAGCCAAACGGCAACCACCCATATTTTCAACAAACACAATGCAAAGCCACTTGAACCCCAAAAAAAGACACACGAGTACAAAGCTAATTCAATCACTTCGCATTACAAATTCAACAAATTGAATAACCCGGCGCATAAAAAGCAAAAATAACAACCAAAAAATAAAAAGAGCCTAGAGTCAGAGAGTTACGCTCTAGCAAGGATGTCAACAAGCTGCGGCTTTGAGAGCGGGTCGAGAAGGGCGCGCAATTCCTCGGCCGACGCCGCCGCATCGGTCAGATTAGGCAGCGGCTGGCCGTTTCCGATTTGCTCAAGCTTCCTCTTCTTCACGTCCTCCATTGTCAAAGCACACTTTTATCACAGATTGTCTGAATTTTTTCGGAGGGAAAAATTTTCAGCTGTTGGAAGTGTTCTTGTGTGCGCCCTGCGAAACCCTTTCCATGACCGGAATATATATATATATATATATATATATCTCTATTATATATCCAATCCAATTCTAATTTATTTTAGAGGTAAAATGCAAAATTGTATATATGACGTAATAATGTTTTGATGCCATAAACGGGCTAGTTTAATCTAAATTGTGAGGTCCATTGGGAAGTTAGGGGCGATAGGCCCAATAAATTGCCTTCGTTTAAGGCCCATAAAGTTAATCAGAAGAAAGCCTGTGAACATATATTTTGGGCCTTCACTGAAAATGGTTATTTGAACAGGCCCAAAATGTCGTAGGTGCGTAACTACGTCTCGCCGGAGTTGAGCGTTTCTGCATATTCTCTCTCTTTACACTTCATTCATCGTTCAACTCTCTCTCTCTCTCTCTCTCTCTCTCTCTCTCTCTCTCTCTCTCTTACATTTGTGAGGATCTCTCAAAAGAAGGAAGGAGCTGAAGAAAATTGCTGCACGCATCGCACGACGTCGTTTCAATTGGTTCGGAATCGAAATTCTATGGAATATGGCGTTATAGATAACAGCGGTGAGTGAGTAAATGTAAGATATTTTCTGTTGTGAAGTTCGAAAGTTGAATCGAAATTTTCTGTTTGGTTTTGTATGAGTTTATATTTTTTGAAACGAATTAAAAATCGTAATTCACCTTCAATTGCCTTGAGGTGAGGAGGTGGAGTCAAATGATGATGAAATGGATAACCTGAGGTTACTTTGACATCGATCCTTCCATGTTGCTGCATGAATGAATGGGGCAACTTTTATTATTTAGGTTGAATAGTTTTTCGCTGAATGTTGTTGAGTGGTGCCAATTTTTTATCCCTATGGTTCTTGGTTTGAGTATGTTTAGCTAGGCCACCATTTAGACTTCAACTGGGATAGCATTGCACAGCCCAGCTACCTAATTCGTTCAATTACGATTCTCGCCATGCTGTTTTTTTCTAAATCGATGGGCATGGTTTGTTTAATCATTAGCTGTACTAGGAAAGTGCTTACTATGGTTTCTGTTTACTTTCTGAATCGTTGGACGCACATTTTGCTAGTCGAAATAAGTGCAGTTACTGATGATGATAATGCCCAACCAGTATACACTGAGTCCCATTAGGAGGTCGTGTGGCGGGAAACGAAAGATCGTTTATAGATGCATCCCCATATCAAACAAAGCAAATCGATATGGAATCCGAAATCCACAATCTGGAGCAGATAGCATACGGCGCAGTTCTCCGGGCTTTCAAGGCGCAATCGAATGCGCTCACATGGGTATATCACGTCTTGATTTATTTCTTATTCTCTTGAGTCTTGTATTATGAGGTTTGACAAAATACGTATGGTTAATATTCAGGAGAAAGAAGGTCTGATAACAGAACTCCGGAAGGAACTAAGAGTCTCAGACGATGAGCATCGCGAATTACTTACCGAGGTCAATGCTGATGACCTAATTCGCAGGATCAGGGAGTGGAGAGAGGCAGGAGGGAGCCGAATTGTGGGCCCCAACGGTGCTAACAATCAGTTACAGAGCCCAACAGTTTCTGCATCTCGCAAAAGACCGAAGGCATCCCTATCGGGAAATCCATTTGGCACACAATCTCAGACGGTGACTGGTACCACACTTCCATTAGCTTCAGCTTCTAAATGGGGGCATAATTCAGGGATTGGTGGGCGAAGGACTAATGCTGTATGTTCAAGTTATAATAAAAAAAATAATAATAATAATAATAAATATTAGAAAGATGGTTCTGAAATTTAGCTCTATGATTAATTCATCTATTTTCACGTTGTTTTATAGGGTCAGCCCGCATTTGCCCCAGCAAAACCTGTGCAACATCAGTTCATAGATCATATTTCTTCTGTGGCTCCTGTGGATGACCTTTCTGAAAGTGTGCGTGACTCATTAGTTGGCCGAAGGGTGATGATAAGATGGCCTGCAGACAATAACTTCTATGAGGCTCTAATAACTGAATACAATCCAGTGGATGTATGTTTGTTCCTTTTGTTGTTTATTATGGTCGGTTTTATAGTAGGAGATTTGGAGAGTCCCTCTACAAGTGTTTTTAGTAAGATTTTTATGCCACTTTGGACGGTAACATATAAATGCTAATTTATGGTATATTACTCGAGAATCAAGAAAGTGAAGAAAGAAACATTGGCAAGTGTGATATCGCCATTTCTTAATGTCAAAAGGATTATCATATATGAATATATCAAATTCCTCCACATGCATGCAGGGCTGCCATTCTTTGGTTTATGATAGCAATACTCCTAATGCAACATTGGAATGGGTTAATATCAAAGAGGTAGGTATCCTTAAATTCAGATTGCCAAAATATTTCCTGTGCAATAATTCTAGTCTAGCTTTTTGAAGCTTGTCGTCAACTCTCTTAAATATGTGTACTTTATGATATTTGTCGTGGATGCCCTGAATTTTCAGATCTCTGTACAAGAAAGATACTTTCTATATTGATACATTTTCAAATGAATTAACTGCCAGAAAGCAATATTTGACCCGTGTGCATACCGGATTAACATAATTTTATCTCCTTGATGTTGCAAAAATCGGTTTCTTTTAATTAAAAGGGTGGTTGAATGATGGCAAGGTTAAGATATTAGCAGAAGCTTTGGGTGATAGTTTGAGGCCGCTGCTGCTTATTTGATTGATTTGTATGGGTTCTTGTATAATTGTGTTTACAGTAATTTTTCTTACCTCTGGTCATACATCTCAATCATTTGTCTTATTTTTACCAACTTATTGCAGGTTCCGCCGGAGGATATCCGGTGGGTGGGTGATGATCCTGTAACATCTCGGTTGGGTGAGATGGGTGGACCTAACTCTGGAAGAGGGAGATTGTCTTCAATGAACCCATTTGCCAAAGAAATCAGGCTTCCAGTGAACGAAACTATAAGGGACGATTATGAGGAAATTGAAATATTGCATACTGACACCTTGATTAAGAAGGTACTTGTACAAGAAAACGTTGTTGTTATACATTTGGAATATATGCAAATTTGCTTTCGGTTATCATTTTCTTCTATTATATTCTGGTATAATAGGTGGAGAAGGTGCTTGATGCAACCCATCCTGATCTAGCAGAGATTCACAAGGCTAAGAAGATGCTTAAGGTTGCCGCTGTTTTGAATATTAATTAAGTTTGTTGTCTTAACGTTTTTCCTCTAGTAATACTGTTACAATTGGTGGTGCAGGAACACGAACAAACACTGATTCAAGTTATTGAGAAGCTTGCGGCTGTATGTGACAGTGGTAATGAGTTTATCTGGATATATGATTCGCGTATCATCTATTTTGAGTATTAATGATTCATTTATTCGTATTCAAATAATTTTGTCAATAATTATGAGTCCCTCAGGGTTCTTTTCTATTCTAAATTTCTAATGTGTGCCGCCATCTATTCTTCAAATTCTAATTAGTGCAGAAACTGTCCTTCACCATTACCATATATGGTGCTGATGCATTCTTGTCTTTCAAGTAATTTGTATGCTTTGATGGTGTCATCCTTTCCTTAATCTCGGTGTCAGACGATAAGTATCTGCAAGCTTATATACTGGGCTTATCGACTTATCCAGACATTTGCAGAACATTTTCTTTTAGTTTCACAGCTGTTACATATTTGTCTAATACTGTCTGACTTATTTGCTGTATTTTTCTTATTCCTGCATCAGATGATGACCATCCATCCGAGCAAGGGCACTCTGGTGGCCAGATCACCTAACCTTAATTATCATGATCGGGGCCATGAGCCTGGCATTGATTCGACCAAAAGTCAAAATCTACAGATTTTTCGCCAAGTTGTTATGGCTGTCAAGAGAGATTTTTTCGAAGATGGTACTGTGAGTAATGGTGTCTGATGCTTCATAGAATAGAGGTTGTTCGTTCATTTCATTTGCTATTGTTCTATATATTGAAACAGTTGTAATAATAAAACTCTGTAATTTCACCGTATCTGAATTTACCAAAACCAACCCATCTGCACTATTTAATACAACCTTTCACTTTTTTCCAAAGCTCCACTTAGTCTTCTATATACAACTCACTTTAACAAACACTCTGAGTTCATAAACAGAATTTCGTCCCTCAAAGATCTAAAACCATTTTTTTTTTTTTTAAACACCCAAACTAAGGATGACAAAATTAAATAACGACAAATAAAACAGAAAAAAGAACTAAAGCCTAACCTGCTGTACATAGAAAAATGAATCCATACACACTAGGTACAAAACCACAAACATTCCTAAACCCCCTCCAAAATCCTTCTATATCTTCCTCATCCTTTTTCTCTGCTCGTTCACAGTCTTCTCCCTTCCTCTCTTCCCGGCCGCCGCCGCTGCTGCTGCTGCCCTTTTCGGCGGGCGGCCCACATTCCTCTTCCCTGGGCTCCCTTTCTCCTTCGCCAACCTTTCCTCCGATGTGCTCCTCCTCGTGACCTGCACTTTCTTCTCCCCACCTTTGCCGCTCCCCTCGCCGGAGGTCAGCGGCGTGTTCTTCAGGGCATCAAGCAGGTCGCCGGAGTTCGACCCTTTATTCATCCGGTTCAAGAAATTCGCAGCCCCTCGTTTTTTTGAGTCTGATTTCGCGTTGCTACTATTGCTGTTGGATTGATTCGTATTATCACTACTGTTGTTGTTCTTGCTGTTTCTCCTCGTGTTGGCTGGGGTGGTTGCGGACGAGAACCGGTTGTCCATTGTCCATTTTCTCGTGACTTTCTTGGAATCCTTTTCATCAGCGACCGAGCTTCGTTGGCGGCACATCTTTAAGGAGCTGGGTAGCCTCGTTTGTAGCTTCGACGAATTTGAAGGGTCGTTTGGTTCGACCTTCTTGGACAAGGTCTGGAGTGAGATTTGTTTCCCGGATTCCGGCTTGGGGGTCTTCCGGGAGATCTCCTTGGCGATGAGGGCACGGATTTCCAGTGCTGCATTGGATTCAAGGGAGTTCTTGGGGAAGAAGACGATGGCGTTGTTGACGAGCAGTAGAATGTCGCGGAAGAACTCGGCCCGTGAGCCCGAGTAGCGTCCTCGTCTCAGCTTCGTCTCCATTGTCTCCAGGTCCATATGTTGGAGGATTAGCTTCTGGTATTTTGAGGTTTCCTTCACAGAAGAATAAATCCAAAAATGTGTATTTTGAATTTCTAATCAAGAAATAATTTTCACCACCTTTTTATTCAAATAATAATAAATTAAATTAATAATAATATTCACCTGGCTACGGAGCCGCCGCTGGAAGATGGAGCCGAGCTTGTGAGCCAGGACGGTTTGAAGAAAGTCAACCAACGGCTGCGATTGAGCGGACAATATGTGATCCTCGTGTTCGCGCCCATCGCTTCCCGTGCTCCCGCGCTGCACTGTATCACCACCTCCCTCCTCCTTCCTCGATCTGCTAGCCGTACTCTGCACATCCGAGCTCTCCTTTGCCGCCTCCCCTCCGCCGCCGGACTCCGCCGAGTCAGTCGCTGGTTCCTCCTTCGCCCTCCGATCGGACTTCTCGATGCTGTTCGAGCTGCCGTTGCACGAGTCCGCCCGGCCGGATTTTCGATCCGGTTCGGGTGTCAACTCGGCCGGCTCCTGGTCCTCCTGATCCCGGCGTATCTCATCAGCTCCAGTTCCGAGCGGTTCAGATTCTTTCTCGCCGGTTTTCGACTTCTCCGCCGCGGGATCTGTCGAGTTCGACTCGTTCACCGACAGCCGATCCTTGTCTATTCCTTCTCCGCCGCCGCCCGCCAACTCCGGTTCAACCTCTTTCCTCTTGTCCTCACTCTTGCTCTCTGGATCCGCCGCGCTTTTCCCCCTGAGGCTCCGCTCTCTCTCCTCTTCCATCCTCTTCACCTTCAACTCCAACGACCTGTGAAAATCAAAATTAAAAAAAAAAAAGATAGAAAACACTCTCTCCCTAATCCAACGTCCAGATCTCAACTCCGTATATTATCTAAACATCACGAGACAGTACTCGATGTTGAGATCGTAGCGCTCCACCTCCCGCCGAAGCTCCGCCACCCTCAATTTCCTCAGCTCCTCCAGCAGAGGCGCGGCGGACTCGTCGGCGCCGCCGAGGCCGTCCGAATCTCGATTGGGAGCGACGACGAAGCGGCGTTTGAGGTCGAGGTACTTGGAGCGGCAGTTGTTCGGTGTAAAGGAGAGGTTGGGTTCGGAGGTCCGCTTCTGGAGCTCGGACGCGATGGAGTCCCAGGAGGCGGTGCCGTGGCGGTTGACGGCGAAGGCGAGGACGAGCTCCTCCCAGGTGCCCCAGGAAGGGGTTGGCGCGTCATCAACCTTCGCCGCCAGCGCGTCGCCGTCCGGCTTGATCATGAACGGTGCGTCCAGTTTCTAAATTAATTCAGATTTATTTTTTTTGGCGTGTTATAACTTATGAGTTATGATGACTTAAAAAACTTTTTGTGGCACTGTGAGAAGGTTTTGTTCTAGGGTTCTGTGATTCTATTGATTGTATGTCATTTTTGTTCTCAAATTCTGACTTTATGCCTCTCTTTATTTATTCAAACTTGTGAAAAATAATATTCGAAACTTTACTCAAATGTAGTGTTGTTAAATTAAACGAGTCTAGCTCGACTCGAGTTTATAGCGAGTCGAGTTCGAGCTCATTTACAGCTCTACTCAAGCATATACCAAAAATCAAATAGAAATCAAACCCCACTCTAGAAAATAAAAAATTGACCAAAGTACATCATTTGGTTCGATTTTGCTCACATTTAACTCGAATTAAATTCTTAGCAAAAATAGGCCAATGCATCATGAGCATAGTCGAGCCAAATTCAATTGCAAATTTTGTGTGGACTAGTATGTATTGGATTGATATGAGCTAAATGAAAGTAGACCCAAACGTAAATGTGCTAGAAAATCACGTGTTGGACCATGATATTCACTGGGCTGATGTATTTTAGCCTGCTATTTTGTACCTCTTCATTTTTGTTCAGGTCAAGGATTAAAGAAAGAGGTTAATTAAAAGATTTAAAACCATTGGAAATATGTGAATTATGCATGATATTATTAAAAAAAGGGACATTAATATTATAGAAGAAGAAAAAAAAAAACTCAATTTTAACATTATTATTTAGGTAGTAATTATTCAATCATTTTCCACCTGCCTATATAAACATAAACTAAAGCATGATTGGCAAATTTCAAATTATTAGGAACTTATCATAGTAAGTATTGGAAATTGAGAGCTTTCCATAAGATTCTTGAAATTCAAAATTTTATAGTTGTTAGAAAAACATGTCTATAAATAGTGCCTATATCCATCAAAGAATCTATTGTTGGATACTTGTTTGTGATCATTAGATTCAAAGCTAGATTTTCATAAGCATACTTTGCTGGTGCAAGTGAAAAGGGTTGATGAATTCGAGCCGTTGCGCAGCATGCAAGCATTTGCGAAGGCGATGCCCCTCCGACTGCATCTTCTCTCCTTACTTCCCTTCCAACAATCCCACACGATTCGCTTTTGTTCACAAGATTTATGGGGCGAGCAATGTTGCCAAGTTGCTTCAGGTTAATAAAACAATGCAAAACGACACGACTATCTATCTGCATTTTTTTCTTCTTCATTTTCGAGTAATTGATGTTTTGTTGAAAAAATTATTAGGATTTGCCGGTGAATTGCCGGGCGCAAGCAGCCGAGTCGTTGTGGTACGAGGCGTATTGGAGGATAAACGACCCAGTGTACGGGTGTGTTGGGGTTATAAGTGTTTTGCAACAACAGATTCAGGATTTAGAAGAGCAATTGGCTAGGATTCAAGCACAAATTGCTGCTCTTGTTGCTCAGTCACAAAGTCATGAGCCTCCTCATCATGTTGAGATTAGTGGTTCTACTAACATGTTGGCTGACCAAAATGGTGATTCCAATTTGGCTTCATTCACTGATTTCTCCACATGGTTGGATTAGAGATTTTTTTTTTTTTTTATTATTAGTTTGTCAATGAATGTTCTTTAACTATTGCATGTTATTGATTTCTCCACCGGTTTT